TAATCTGTGAAACAAACAGGGGCGGAGACAAACCACTCAAATGTTTGAAACACTCATTGTGTGTCAGATAGCTACTGATAACACATCCTAACATTGCTTTGTCTTGAGTTTATCTTTGAAACTTATAGGCACACAGATTAAACCTGTGTTTTTGATTTTGGAAAACACTACTGAGGCTGCCTTGCTTCCCTTCAGAAAATCTATATTTTAACCAACTTACATGACATTCTATGTTATATTGACTTTATCATATGAAAGTTTATGGTGCATTTCATCAATTAATAAATAAATGTGAAAATCGTAATTTTCAACACAAATAATAGTCTCGCTACCTTAACACGAAAATTAACTTCCCATTAATCTTAATTTAGATAAAGAGTCAACAATCACATCGGGAGAGTATACTTTCTGTTAAATTAGCTACATCTTGAAATTACACATTAGCTAAAATATCATACTACCTAAAAAAGACAAGTTTTAAAGCACAATGTATGCACAGTGTTGCTGAGATTCATATTTTAATGTCAGAGCCATATTAGAAATAATTTTTACTCCAATGTAGAATTGGAGAATTGTTGTAACCAGATCACATTTTAGGATATTATAAGAAGGTACAGTGACCCATCGCTAAGTTGCGAGTGTCAGGATCCAAGCAAAAACTGTGACTTACCGAGGGCCTCATGAAAGGGGTTCATGCATTGTATATGGATAAAAGCTCATATACAGACATGGGTTTATTTATAGTATGTTTTCTTTTATTGAAATACATCAGTGTCGCAGCTTTATCAATGTAATCACTGTTGGATAATTTCACACATTTTCTGTTCAGTTCATCCCAAATTTTCTCATCTTTTCTTCATTGTTTACCTACCCACGAATAGTGGACTCGTGACTGCTAGATCTTGTGTAACTCTTGACTTTGTTTCACCTATCTTGACACAGTCGATCACTACAAGTTTTTTATATTATATGAACAGACTGGATAGCTTTCGCTTACACATGCTGCTCAGTTGAGAACTTGATGGATTCAACTCAATGTAGTGAGTTTTATAGAACTATATCACTGGAAGGGGGCAAGAAGTATGCAAAGTCCCAACTTGACACCCCTGTCGACACCTTGAGTCAGGCCACTGTCATTCTTTGTATCTCAGTAATTGATGGACAGTAAGTGTTAATTTGTCTTCTCCATCCCTTTAACGGCCAATTATATACACGATGCAACTTCAAAATTGTTCACAAAACACAATAATAATTTTGAGAGCCATCAAACTATCTGTGACTTAGCCGAAATCGTGACTTACTGAGGCGCGACTTAGTGACGGGTCACTGTATTCTCAATTTGCAGACAGCATGTCAGATATATTGATATTTTCATCTTTTTATCTTCTTTGCTAACTCCTGTAGTGAATAGAAAAACAGAATTTATTTAGGAAGTTGGGAATTTTTATTTTTAATATTTTATCATGGTTGTTTATAGGTTGAATATTATGATGATCAAGACACAACAATCTCACAGAACAGGGTTCATAGCACCAAGAGCCAAATGATTTTCAAGACTTTTTCAGACCTTTTCCCAAACTTTCTTGCATTTTCCCAAAACATTTTGACCTTTAATTCAGGCCAACATCATCACCAAAGCTCTTCAAAGTTCTGAGGATGTGGTAGTTCTCTGGAGAAAACAGGCCTTTCTAAAATGAATTAATAACTATGAAGAAATTTAAAGACTTTTCAAATTTTTTTTTATTTTTCCTGTCATTTACAGACAACTCAAAGACTTTCCAGACCTCAAAAAATCCAAAGACTTTCAAAGGATTTTCCCAATGCTATGGACCCTGCAGCCAAATCAAAAATAACTTAAACATTTTAATTGGCGATCATATAATGGCATTTGATGAAAATAGTGCTTTATATCCCATTTATCAATATTTTTCTTCCATTTCTGGAAACTGATGTAAATAATTTTTCACAATGTGAAACTGCTTTTTACTACTGTAACAATAGACCATTTTTCGTTCAGTGGCGTCAATCATTGCGAAGGATTTGACAAGTGCAAACATATTTTAGAGGATATTTCCACAATCAATAATGCGCTGTACACATTTGATGATAGCCAAATTCAATGAAGTAAGGGTATCTGAATGCAATATTTGCCTGTCAAAGATTGGCCTTCAAATTTGAGCTTTGAATAAAAGAAATTCAAGTTCGAAATCAATCTTTTGATTTTTGCAGATCACGCTTACACGCAATACGTGAGATATCGCAGTTGAACGGAAAATCATCTATTACATGCATATGAATCAGAATATTTGTTAAGTATGTACATGATTTGAAGAAAATCAGTCAAGGTGTGTCTGAGATACACCTTTATTTGGACACATGCATGCACAGACAAAACCAAACAAACCCACAAGTCTCAATTTCAAACAAGGACTAAAATGTAAAGTACCATACCTGTTGAATTTCCATTGGAAATTCTTCTATATTTTCTTGAACACAAGAAAGACAAAATCGCTTTGTGTAGAAGAGACTGCAATTCTGAAAATGAAAAAGTGTGCATTTACTGAATTTGGTTCAATACATAAATTAACAATATCTTTAATTGAAATATATTTAAAGTGAAACTAACTAATAGTCACATCTAGAATTATTATCTCGAGAGATTGATCTTTGCATCTTGGTTTCTGGTCAAGGATCC